TGGCCAACGTGGTGAAACCCTGCCTCTACTAAAAATACAAAAAGTAGCCGGCTGTGGTGGTGTGTGCCTGTAGTCCTAGCAACTCGTGAGGCTGAGGCAGGAGAATCACTTGAACCTGGGAGGTGGAGGTTGCAGTGAGCCGAGATCATTTCACCACTGCACTCCAGCCTGAGCGACAGAGCAAGACTCCGTCTCAAAAAAAAAAAAAAAAAAAAAAAATCTGAAATCTAAAATGCTCCAAAATCTGAACTTTTTGCGCACCAACACGACACCACAAGTAGAATAGTCTGTGAGTGAGAACTCTAATACAAACTTAATTTCATCACAGAATTATTGAAAATGTTGTATAAAATTACCCTCAGACTATGTGTATAAGGTATATATGAAAGGCAAAGACCTCTGTGTTTAGATTTGGGTCCCATTCCCCATGATATCTCACTATATATTTGCAAATATTTCAAAAATTGAAAAAATCTGAAATTCAAAACATTATTGGTTCCAAGCATTTCAGATCAGGGATACTTAATCTGTAGAACAAAAATGCACTTTACAAATTTTTTTCTTCAGTTTTTAAGTTCAAGGGTACATGTGCAGGATGTGCAGGTTTGTTACACAGGTAAACTGTGCCATAGTGGTTTGCTGCACAGATCATCCTATCACCTAGGTATTAAACCCAGCATCCATTAACTATTCTTCCTGATGCTCTCCCTCCCCCTACACCCCTGACAGGTGCCCAGCGTGTGTTATTTCCCCCCATGTGTCCAACTGTTCTCATCAATCAGCTCCCACTTAGAAGTAAGAAAATGCGATGTTTGATTGTTCTGTTCCTGTGTTTGCTGAGGATGATGGCTTCCAACTCCATCCATGTCCCTGCAAAGGACATGATCTCATTCATTTTTATGGCTGTATAGTATTCTATAGTGCACATGCACCGTATTTTCTTTATCAGTCTATTATTGATGGGTCTTCATCAGTCTATCATTTGGGTTTATTCTATATCTTTGTTATTGTGAATAGTGCTGCAATGAACATACATGCGCATGTATCTTTATAATAGAATGATTCATATTCCTTTGGGTGTATACCCAGTAATAGGATTGCTGGGTCAAATGGTATTTCTGCCTCTAGGTCTTTGAGGAATCGCCACAGTGTCTTGATGGAATGAGGAATAAGCTAATCCATTCAGGCAGTTTACTTAGCAATTGTAGGAAATTAATGAAGGTTGCTTCTTTTTTTTCCTCTTCCCTTCTTTGTCTTCTTTACACTAAAACAGGGTGGACTGGGTATAATTTAACCTTTCCTGAATAACAGGGATGTTTTTGTGATGAGTAACTATTGCTGTTTTTTTCGTCGTCTGAGGCGTGGAAAGGCAGAGGAGATGCTCCAGAAATTGCTTTGTAAAGTTGAATCCGGACATAAATAGGCAGCAGCTGCCGCCTCCTTCTTTCCCAAAAGACTCAGATAGCTCCCATTTTTAGTAGTAATTTTCATTGAGAATCCAAGAGAATCTGGGCCTGTGCTTTCCCTCTAAATGACAGAGGCAGTAATAAAAGATGAGGCTAAAGAGGTGGCTCATGTATGTAATTCCAGCACTTTGAGAAGCCAAGGCAGGAGGATTGTTTGAGGGCCAGGAGTTCAAGACCAGCCTGGGCAACAGAGTGACACTGGGTCACTCCAAAAAATGTAAAATGTAGCTTGGCATAGTGGCACGCACCTGTGGTCTCAGCTATTTGGAAGCATCACTTGAGCCCAGGAATGAGAGGTTGCAGCGAGCTGGGATGGCACCACTGCACTCCAGCCTGGGTGACAAAGCAGCAAGATTCTGTCTCTTAAAAAAAAGATAAAAATAAAAGAGACAGATGAATTGTGCCCAATGGCCCTAGAGGTAGAGCCTCCACTATACCACAAATGGGAAGGGGGCTTGGGTCAGAGAATAGCAGCCTTTCTGAAATGTCCTGGCGGAGACACATGTTCTCACAGTGTAGCAGCAGAGTTATCTATTCCTCATCTGCTTTTGATGGTTTTGCTGTTTTTCATGTCTGTTTTTCTAATGGTTCTAGCACAGCTCTTACTAACTCGAGTTGGGAAGCTGGCCAAGTGGCTTCCATCCCTTCGCCCTTCCTCCCCACCCGGCAACTCCATGGGGCAGTCAGGGGCATGGGCCTGGGAGCTGCCCTGGCTGATGTGAAAACAGGCTCCTTCCGGTGTGAAATGGGGGCAGTGATCCTTGCCGCCCCTGCTCCTAGGAGGGTTGTGTGCAGTGGCTATTCCCTCCAGATTTTCCAAAGTGCCCACGGGAATGTGAAATGATGAATAAATATAAGGCATCATGTAGGAGTCAGTGGCTCACAATAATTAGCGGTGAGGTGTGCCTGCAGATACAAAATGTGTCATTAAAACACACACAGGGGTGCGGTGGCTCACATCTGTAATCCCAGCACTTTGGGAGCCCGAGGTGGGCAGATCACCTGAGGTCCGGAGTTCGAGACCAGCCTGGCCAACATAGTGAAACCCCATCTCTACTAAAAATACAAAAACTAGTCAGGTATGGTGGCGCATGCCTGTAATTCCAGCTCCTCGGGGGAGCTGAGGCAGGAGAATCGCTTGAACCAAGTAGGCGTAGGTTGCAGTGAGCCGAGATCATCAGGCCACTGTACTCCAGCCTGGGCGACAGTGAGACTCCATCTCATAAAAACAAAAACAAACAAACAAACATAGAAACACACAAACTAGGACAGAGTCAGGGTGTCATTAAAATCATCTCACCCTCACTTGCCTTCTGGAGCATTCTGTTGAGAGGGTGAGAAAGGGCAGTGGTTACTGGGACCATGAGCGTCCTGTCCTGCCGGGGCTGACCCTGCAGTAACCGACAGCCCCGGTGAAGGAGGCGTGGAAGTCGTCCTCCCCAGGCTCTCCTTTCAGGACAGCTGGCATCCTGCTGCAAAGCAAAAGACGCCTTCGGGGGCTGCACCAGAGCCTTCCAGGTGGGGCTTTTGGGATGCAAGGAACAGAGAAGTCCCAGAGAGATATTTGGAGCAAAGCGGGTGGGCGCCTCATGAGGTTAGGGCGAGACTTCATAGGGCCCAGACCAGGAAGCAAAGCCCAGCCAGGCTTTATGGAACCAGGAGGCCTCCATCTCCTCCTCTTAGTCAGGGTGGCTGGGTCTCAACTGCACCACTCCCCCGGGCTTGTTCTGCTCCGCGCTCTCCTGTCGGGCTTCTCTTGCTTCCACATCATCTTGGACATGCCACTTGCACACACCGACAAGCTTCCCTTCCCATTGTAAGACTCCCTACGGCCTGGAAACAGCTTTCATTGCTTGGTTGACGTTTGCAGGAAAATCCTGGTAACACTCACTCATCTTTTTGAGAGAAGCCCTGCAAGCCACGGGTTCGCCGCGCTCCAGTCAGCTGCGCCTGGGGTCTGGGGAGGAGGACGCAGGGCCATGGCAGAGTGCGGCACACAGCAAGGTGGAGCCCGTAGGGGACAGCGCTGCAGAAGCCGGCCAGCCGTCACCCCTTTGTCTCAAGCGGGCAACTTGCATTTTCAGGATGCTGTGGGCAAAGATTCCTCTGGGTACTGCCTCACAGGAGTGTGTGAAGGCTCTGTCCAGACAAGAGAAACTTGACAGCGAACTTAAGGTTTTTAAAGTAGAAAAAGAGGACTTATCTTTCTCTTTGTGTGTGTTGTTGTTGTTGTTGTTTGAGACAAGGCTCCTTCTGCCACCCAGGCTGGAGTGCAGTAATAGGTCATGGCTCAACTGCGGCCTTAACCTCCTGGGCTGGCCATTCCCCCACCTCAGACTCCCAAGTAGCTGGGACTACAGGCACAGGCCACTATGTCCCGGTAATATTACTGTTCTTTTAAAGGCGGGGATCTCACTATGTTGCCCAGGCTGGTCTCAAACTCCTGAACTCAAGTAGTCTTTGCACCTCAGCCTGCCAAAGTGCCTGGATTACAGGCATGAGCCACTGTACCTGGCCGCCTTTCTCTTTTGTTAAAGTATATTTAACTTCTTTACACACACATACATATACTTAAATGTATAAGGTGATCAGAATATGCCTCCCCCATTTTTTTTTACTTGGTTACACCTTCCCTTCTCCCTCTCTCCACCCACCTTAGCTTTCCCTCCCCAGCTAGGCCCCCAAGGTAGACCATGTTCACAGACTATTATAGGACCTCGCATATTTTTCTTCTTACTTGTGATGGTCAGTTTTATGGGTCAGCTTGGCTAAGCTGTAGTTATTTAATCAAACACTAGTCTAGATGTTGCTGTGAAGGCGTTTCGTAGATGAGGTGGACATCCATAATCAGTTGACTTTAAGTAAAGAAGATTGCCTTCCATAATGTGGGTGGGCCTCACCCAATCAGTTGAGGCCTTAAGAGCAACAACTGAGGTCCCCCCAGGAAGAGGTTATTCTCCTCAAGACTGCAGTGGAGAAACCCTGCCTGGATTTCCACGCTGTCAGCCTGCCCTGCAAGTTGCCAGCGCCCTCAATTACGTAATCAATACCATAAAATCATTTTATCTGTCTCTCTGTCTTACTCTCTCTCTTCTGTTTTGTTATCTGGAGAATCCTGACAAATATGATATTTATTTAATCATACCTGTGTGTGTATATACATGTATATAGTACAAGAGTGTATAGATGTATATATGTTTGTATATACTCATGTACTTATGGAAATATATAGATTTTTGCCATTTTTCAATTTACAAACGTGAAATAATATTTTATGTGTTTCTTCATCTTGCTTTTTCTCATCAGTGTTTAATAGACCACCTGATACTCCATAAAATATGTATGAAACGTGGTTTATTCAGTCATTCCCCTACTAACAGGAATTATTCTGGTTTTTTTTCTTTTTTCCACTATGAATGATGCTACAGTGAATACATATATACATAAATATACACACACAAGGAAATATATGGGTGTGTATACAAAGATTTGTGTATGTGTGTATACAGGTACACACACACGTTTAAGTCTGTATAAGTATGACACAATAAGAAATATATATTTGGTCCTCATCCCAGTTCCTGACACAGAGTTTCTAAAACCCTGAGAACCTCCTGAGATATAGGAGCATTTTTGGTTATTCATAACAAGCCCATATATGAGTTTATGCAAATGAGGTGAGCTCTGTGGGTCCCTAGATTGCTTCAGGATGGGGGCCAGTTGCCAGAAGAGCCAACCACGTGAGTAGAGGATTGGAGCTTTTAGCGTCACTCCCAGACCTCTAAGGAGACTGAGTTCAATCATCATTGGCCAATGATTTAATCAATCATATCTGCATAACAGAACCTCCAATAACAAAAAGCAAAAAACACCTAAGTGACAGGGTTTGAAGAGCCTCCAGGTTGGCAAGGACATCCATATCCAGGGAGGATGGCGCATTTCAGCTCCACGGGGACAGAAGCTCCTGGCTTTGGGTTCCCTCCAGACCTCGCCTTGTTTGCCTCTTCATGTTGTTGTCCATCTGTGTCCTTTATAATAAAGTGGAAATCATAAGTTAAGTGCTTTCTGGGGTTTTGTGAGCTGCTCCAGCAAATCATTTACCGTGAAGGGGAAAGGGGGTGGGGAACCCCTAACTTTGCAGCCCAGTCAGACAGAAGTGTGGAAACCCTGGAGACCCTACATGTGGCTGGCGTCTAAAGTGGGAGCACTCTCGTGGGACTGAACCGAACACTGAAACTTGCGGAGCCTGATGCTAAGTCCAGGTAGTTATTGTCAGAATGGAACTGAATTGTAGGGAACCCAGTCAGTGTCCAGAGAGTTATCAGAAGTGCCGTGAGTAAAAACAGATGATAGGATATAGCCCCTGCTGTGCCATTTCAGGGTGAAAGGGCCTAAATATTTTTATTAATTCATATTCCCAGAACATCTCTAGAGGAAGTTACATTTCACATTTTATTCAGCAATATATGAGGAAACTCTACCTGGTGGGTTTGAGTGTCTTGGAAATCACAGCAGAGCAGCCTTCAGGTCATGTCCGCTCTATGCAGGAATTATCTTTCATCTCTGTATCCAGCAGTTGCAGGTCAGCTGATTCTATGAGATTAATTTGTTAATCTACATAAAAATCACCCTTTGCATTTTAGCATTTTTTTCTCTCCATTAAAATTGGGAAAGGTTGCAGAGAAAAAAGGGGTTGAAGGAATATAAACTGGGACCTAGGTTGAGGCAGGTGGATCACTTCACGTCAGGAGTTCAAGACCACCCTGGCCAACATGGTGAAACCCCATCTCTACTAAAAAAAAAAAATAATAATAATAATAAATTAGCCAGGCATGGTGGCACACAACTGTAATCCCAGCTACTCAGGAGACTGAGGCATAACAATCACTTAAGCCAGGGAGGTGAAGGCTGCAGTGAGCCGAGATCATGCACTCCAGGCATTCTAGCCTGGGTGACGGAGTGAGACTTAATCTCAAAAAAAAAAAAAAAAAACAAAACAAAACTTAGCTCCACCAATTTTAATGGCTTACTAATTTTAATGTTCTTGAGCAAAACCACATCTGAGTTGGTTCCCTACTTTACAAAATGGAGATAATAGTGTTGTTGTTGTTTTTAAGAAGGGGTTCTTGCTCTGTCACCCAGGCTATAGTCCAATGGCAAAGTCCAAAGTCTGTCCAATGGGAAGTAGAGGCTGCAGTGAGCCCAGATTGTGCCATTGCACTCCATCCTGGGCAACAAGAGTGAAACTCTGTCTCAAAAAATAAATAAAAAAAAAGAGTAGAGAAATATTTAGTGTAAAATAAATTTATCCAAATTGAAATCGGTAATATGTATTTTTATCAGCTACTACTTTGACATTATTGCTCATTTCTGTGCACCATGGTGGAGGAGTTTTATGACTTCAATCCCCACAGAAATGTTGAACTTTCAGGCATTTTTGTCTTTTATTTAGAATCTTGGTGAAGTCGGGTAAATTTTTTGCACATATTTTAATGAGCTAGTTTTCAAGTCTTTGACCATTTTTAGTCTTTTTTATTTGTAACTTAGTTGTTAAGCTTGCCCAGTGTAGCAGAGCAATGCTTTGGCAATGCTTCCACACATTTTCATGTTAAAACCCTTACTATTTCTTTCTTTCTTTTTTTTTTTTTTTTTTTTTGAGATAGAGTTTCGCTCTGTTGCCAGGGCTGGAGTGCAGTGGTCCCATCTGGGCTCACTCCAACCTCCGACTCCCTGATTCAAGCGATTCTCCTGCCTCAGCCTCCGGAGTAGCTAGCTAGGATTATAGGTGTGCCCCACCACGCCCAGCTAATTTTTGTATTTTTAGCAGAAACGGGGTTTCACCATGTTGGCCAGGATGGTCTCAATCTCCTGACCTCATGATCCGCCTGCCTCGGCCTCCCAAAGTGCTGGGATTACAGGCCTGAGCCACCGTGCCTGGCCAACCCTCCCTATTTCTAAGTGAATTTTCTGGAATCCAGAAACTGAGAGAGTATCTTTCAGGGAGATTTTGTAGATTTTTAAACATTTAAAACAATTTGAATCCTAAGTTGTTTTGCTTTTAAACTTTTAAAAGTGGTTATATCTTACAAGTGGTTAGAGTGGTTAATCTCTAACTCTTACAAACAAAATTTAAACTGCAAGAATAGTGCTACCTAATAAATTATGTATTAGTGTGCTTAGGGCAAAATTTACAATAATGCCTGTTGTTCCCAGATGTCACACAATGTGAAATGTTCTAGGCAAATACTTTTTACCTTTTTATCTTACATTCTAATGTTAAAATAAGATTTAAAATATAATCTTTTGGCTGGTCGTGATGGCTCACGCCTGCCTGTAATCCCAGCACTTTGGGAGGTCGAGGTGGGCAGATCACGAGGTCAGGAGTTCAAGTCAAGCCTGACCAACCCCGTCTTTACTAAAAATACAAAAATTAGTCAGGCGTGGTGCTGCGCGCCTGTAATCCCAGTTGCTCAGGAGGCTGAGGCAGGAGAATCACTTGAAGTTGGGAGGCGGAGGTTGTGGTGAGCCAAGATCATGACACTGCACTCCAGCCTGGGCAACAGAGAGAAACTCCGTCTAAAAAAAAAAAAAATACACACACACACACACACACACAATATTTTTCAGCTATATCCAATTTAAAGTGTCAACATTTTCATTTCCGGGACAACTTTGATTTTAATTGAAGAAGGTTTTATCAAAGCTAATTAATATACAAAACACATAAAGTTGAAAAGATGGGGAAACAGTCTGAATTAGCTTGGGACCTGAGGCAGCAGGACTGCAATTATTCTCGGCCTCCACAGCTCTTCTAAGTTTTATTGATGTCTTTAACCGATTTTTGCTACAATGTAGGTGGGTCTTCAGTGGAACCCAGGGTTGAGTGGGCCACCTGGTGTGTGATAATAATCTTTGAAGGGTAAAACCTGTAGAGTTCAGGTGAAAAGTGAGACTTCATATGGTGCCAAGCCGATGCCAAGAAGTGTGGAGGGCTCATGAGCGTCTGAGAAGGCCACACAACTCATGAGTGGGAGTTGGTGTTTCAGTTCTGGTAATCTCTAACTCCAGCTCCCGTGCCATATTGCTTCTTATGTGGCATCCAGAACAAGGGGCCGAGGGACTAGACCTTGGCCTAGAAGACTAAGAGAACAGATCAGAGAGAAGCTAAAGGAAATGAAGATTCCTGGTAACAAAACCCAAAGTAATAGGGAACTGGCTGAGTTGATGACATCAACAATTGAAGGGATAAGCCTTTCCCACTGGGAGCCTGAGAATATGGGGTATTTACAAACGGAAAAGTGACATCCACAGGAATAATGTAATTGCATGGAAACAGAGTAAATGAGTCAGATGACACAAGTCCCAAACTTGAGGGACCCGATGACAAGTTTGTTGAAAACTCTTGACTGAGACTGTTCAATGATTTAAGTTAAAAGAGTGATGTGAGATGCGCATGCAACTGACCTACAAGTGTAGCCTTCGCCTGTCCTGTGCCTAGCACAGCGCCGCCTCTGTGAAACAGGTACTCATCCCCATTTTGCAGATAAGAAAACTGAGGCTCAGAAAGATTAAGGAACTTGTTTGAGGACAATGCCTGCCAGCCTGTAGGCCACTGACGAAACTTTTCAGAGGTTGTGTTTCTTGGGAAAGAGCCTGAATCTCTGAGATTTGCTTGCAGAAGGTTTACGGGGGAGTGCTATAAGGAACAACCCCATTGAAGGGGAAGGAAAGCAGGCATAGGAGAAGAGAGAAGTTGAACTGCAGTTCTGGTGCAGGAGGACTGCACATCCCACAGGGAGCTCTGAGGCCCTTCAGATCTGTCTCAATAGAGGCAAGGGGGCTGGATCTTTGGACCCCTCATAGACTAGTCGTTGCATGCAGGATGTTCCAGGGGAAAGTGAAACCTTGGACGAGGCAACTTCCTTCAGCTGAGGGAAATTTCTGGACAACGCTCATATATGAGCAGCCCCCACACTCGGCAGCAGGGGTCGGGGGAGGGTGAGTGCCAGATTCTAAAGGGGAATCTAGGCTGTACATCACAGCATGCACTGCAAACTTGCTCCTGTTTTTCAGTGTGGTTCTAGCATTAGTCTTTTAAAAACATTTTTCCTATAAATTTGGATAGGAGAAGTGGGTACTTATTCTTAGCTATTTTCATCCAAATTTAGACATCTCTTAATACTTAACTATTCTTGGAATATGAATACTAAATAGCATTCTATTTGTTGTCCAAGGAGCGTCTTTTAATGAATGAATTTTAGTTGCTAACACTTCTGAATATAATCTCTAATTTTTACAATTCAGAAGGCTGAGTCCAAATGACCAGGAGATAACCCTGAAAAGCAGAGCCAGGGGGCTCCTGGACAGTCTTAGAGACAGATCCCTCACCCCACCCCACCTTGATGGTGCGGACCAGTCCGATAACATTCAATCTTGCAGCTTCCACTGATGTCTAAGAGGACCTGAGACAACAAGATGCCTTACCTGCCTAGCTCTCTAGTGCCCAAATCAACTTATATACACTCACGATGTGCCCTCAAGAGCATCGTTCAGGCTGGTCCGAGTGCAGTGGTGTTTACAATTAATTGATCACATCAGTTACAGTTACAAATATTCTTTTCCCCCATGACACAGGCCCAGGAGATCCTGAGAACATGTGTCCCTTGTTACAGATTTCTTTGTCCTTCTCTACTCCCACTGCTTCACGTTTCTAGCATAAAAACAAATAAATAATAACAAAGAGCATTATACGTGGTATCTTCTGTCTCTTATCAAGAAAAAGAATCGGATTCACATGACTGTTAAGGCCTCAAAATGATTTGCTGAAGATATAAGGTTGGACTTTGCTAGACACCAACTCTCCATCGCGGCAGGAAAGGGGGTCCATGACACATGTGTAAACTACCAGGGCCTGTGGATGGCAACTGTCATAGCCCGGACTGCATGCCAGATACCGTCCTCCTAAGTGGTTTACCAAATGAAGTAGATACTGACATTGTCCCATTTCTCGATGCTGTTTGTTCTACTCATCAGATGTGACCTGGTCTGTACACGTTGTCTCTACACCTCTTTCCTTTCACCTACTGGACACTGTTTCAACAATGTACTCATTCTAATTCTTGGCTTCCTTCTGCATCACACACTCCTGCACACACACAGAGCCATCCTCTTTCCTGTCTGTGCTATCAATACCTACCCCTCTTCTTGTCGATAACTGGAGAAGAAAAAAGAGTAATCACAGAATGTAACAACGTGACAAGGCCATTAGGATACAAGAAAGAGTACTGGATTCCTCCATAAGAAAATCTCCACTTGACTGGGTTGACAGATATCAAGGCGGGGATTTGGAATCTGTGCAGTCTGTAGGATATATTGAGTGGCCACTGGATCCAGAGGTAGTAGATCCTGTGAGGACTTGGACCCTCACCTTAGAAGAGAAGCAGGACACTAGAGGGTCTTCCCAGAAGGCTCCAGTTTCCAGTAGCAAAGGCTGCATAATGAACCACCCTCAAACTTAGCAGCTTTATTATTTTGCACAATTCTCTGGGTTGACCGCATAGTTCTTGTCTGGATTTGCATGGACTAGGATGACATCACTCATGTGCCTGGCTCCTTAGCTAGGACAGCTGGGATAATGGGGGCCTGTCTCCACATGGCCTCTCATCCTCAGGAATGCTAGCCCAGACTCATTCATGGGGTAGCAAAAGAGTCTTAGCAGCAAGAGGAGGTGAACTTCAGTGCACAAGCACTATCCTCTCCTTGGATCATGTTTGCCAGTGTCCTGTTG